GCTGTCTTATACAGGTTTCAGCAGGTATGTTAATAAACCAAACTAATAAAACTGAGTGTAAAACAGGACTGCAGTCAAAACTGCAAAAAGCAGTGTAAGCAAAAGGCTGCTGGCAATGCAGAAGAAACCCAGCTGCTCTGCCTGCACCTATTTATATGAATACAGTTGAGCCTCTTCAGCCCTGGGACTCCAAGGAGAGTGCAATTGTGATTTTAGAAACAGAAAAGAACAATTGGATGGTATTTGTTCCTGTGCATTGAAGACAAGCCTTCCTAACATGGACAAATACAGCTGGTATGAACAAATGCTGCCTTGACAGTTTTTTAGAAAGATGCAAACCAGCAGAAAAGTGAAAATTTCAAATGCAAACCATTCTCTGGGGCTTGTCCTCTGAAACAAGTCCAACATATCCAGGAAATATGTTCCCTATCTGGCTTCACCCACCCCTAACATCATCAGTCATGATTACTGGTTGCAAGAAGCTGACGATGAATCAACTCTTTGTTTTTTCATTGACTATGAGCTGACATAGGTGCCCTACTTAAGGACTACATCTCCATGTATCTCATAGAAACGCTAAATATATCTATAAATAAAATGTATTGGAGGGAAAAAGTGGAAGGAATAATTTTTCCCCTAAGAATCTAAACCAAAGGATTTAGATGGTCTCTTGAAATTAAATCTTCTCTTATTGTCTGTGCATTGACATCAGAGGGATCTTCTAGGAATGACGACACTTGAACCACTTTTATCCAGATAATTTATTGGTCAGTGGGTGGTGGTTTTGCACATGTCTCATATCTCTAAGATAACCTGCCTGCTGCTCAGGCTCACTGGCTGTTGTCTCTATAAACATTGTGCCCAGCATGGACACGGTAAAGTCTGAAACAACAACTACATATGAATCCTCCCTGACAAAATGGCCTTATATCACACCCTGAGATGTGCAACAGTGATGGAAAAATCATTGATTATCCAGCTTGTTTTTATCCAGAAAATGAGCAGTGAGGGTCCTTGACAATCTGATAATAAGTTAAGTTGGTATGTGCTAACATTTGGGATCTCAATGCCACGTCTTCATTTCTAATTTCATCAAATTTGTACTAATAGTATTTTTTCTTAACCGCCGTAGCATAAAACACCCAGTCTGACTGCAAGTAGCTCAAAAAGCAATGGTAAAAGTTATGAATAGGATCAGATCTGCAGCTGGCTGTTGGATGATGGCTTTTGTTGAAGCTCCAGCTTTGATTTTTCCTCCCATATTTTTTTGCAAAAATCCACTTTAGTTTTAAAATATAGCTCTGCCGTCATCTTTTACACAACCCTAACTTCCTCTGTCCGATCCAGGACAATAATAGCTGGAGTAATATTAGCTGTTTGTACCGCTGCCATTCTTCAGGTGGCTTATTTGACATATACAAGCACTTTCAGTCCTTCACTCTCCAGAGTCTGGCTCCAGACCTTGACCATTGTTTTTATAAATGGCCTTTTTGAACTGAATAAGGACTCTTTGTTAAACAGGCCCTGGCCTGAAATAGCCTCCATGACTGGTCTCAGTAGCAGATATCCCTTTTCCCTCCCATTACTCATCCATTGACCCCCTACTTTTGTTTGCTCTAGCCTCAGGAGGATGCAGGAGCCAAAGGTGGCTAATCTGTTAGCATGTGTCTTTTTAACTTTATTTTGAAACAGGCCTGGAAAGAGGAATCACTCTTTGGTTTCAAGATAATTAGATTAACCTATATTCCTCCTGAAGAAATATATTTTAAGAATGTGCGTTTCCATTACGTCCACATCAGGCAGTGTGTTTACTAACAGCCTGTAGAGCTAAATATAAATAATTATTTACTCTTTTCTAATTATGCTAATAGTGTTAATATGCAGATTGTGGGTGGAGGCATGTGGAGTGTATGTGGGTGGATTTAAGGCCATTTTGGAAGGATTCTCTGATTCACAGTGTGGGCAGCTGGACGGATGAATGGATGTATTTACAAATGGATGGACGATGGACAAAGCACAGTTAACCGTGTAAATGGATGAACATTAAAAGCGTGCATTGTCTCTGCTGGACTGGACACATTTATGGGGGCTTAAAAGACTTCAAATAGACCTATCCTGTTCATTTACAGCTTCTCATTTACATTCTTGGACTCTGCTAGACTAGCTTTGTATGATTAACTGCATAAACTAATTTCTTTCTTTTTCTTATTGAATCAAACTGTTTTAGCTCCACCCACATCACTTTTAAGCCAGTTTTCTTCTGACTGGCTGTCAATCACAAAGACAGTGGGCCTGTATTCATGTACCAAACTAAGAGTAAAAAAAAGTAGAATTTTCAGTGTGATATTCTCATTATATCGATAATACATGGATGGTATCTGCAGTTCTCTTGTTTGTTGTCCATGCTCTTCTTTCATACAGCACGTGATGATCGGTATAATTCAGACATCTAGAAAGAAATTTGTCGATTGAATAAAGTCTCTGCTAAGTTAGCGAATGCTTTCTTTGCAATTGCAATCTAAATCTTCATTTTGTGCAATGATCTTCTATCTCTACTCACAGTAGTTCCGATATATTTAAACTCACTGACTTGTTATAAGGTGAAATTCTTCAGTCAAATGTTACATACTGGATTATCTGTCTCTATAGAAATTGGAAAGGCTGTATTATCCTTGGGAAAATACAGTAATGATTTCCAGCTGCCCTGTGCTGTGATTTTTTTTTTTTTTAAAGAGTGTACCCACATCTGGATGTAGTTAATATTATGTCCATCGTAGGTTATACTGAGCCCCTGACAGTCTGTGAGCCATGTTTGGCCCCTAAGAGGTCAGGATATAGAGATGATTGACATGAAAATTAAAAATGAACAAACACGTGTTACACTTATGTCAAAAGATTAATCTTTATTTGTTGTTTTGATACAAAAACATATATAAAAACATGCATATTAAAAAGCTAGCTCCAGCCTTTCTGTGTGGAGTTTGAATGGATTCCCATGCCTGCCTTGGTTCACCTCAGGTCCTCCAGCTCACAGGAACAGGTCTGAGGCAGATTCAAAGCCTGCAGCGCCTCATCACAGCAACCTAAATTTCAAAGGTTTGATGTTGCTTCAGGTTCGGGTCATTATTGTAAAGCACTAATGCTGCATTTTATGATTCTTCAGTTATTTGTTTGTTTCTGGCTCATCATCCTTTCTATCCCAGTCTGGCATGTCCTCACGATCCCCTCAGGCTCATATCAAATTAAATTAAACCATTAAATGTAACTCTGCTAATAAAATTAATGGCCAAATAACAAGCTGATTTACTTTCATCAGCAATTTGTCCGCCAATAAAATCACACGTGGTCAGCTATATAGTACTGGACTCATATTCCAAAGCCAACACACATTTAAACCTTAAAGCATTATATCAGTGTCCTGGGGAGAATCATTTGTTAAAAATGTTGTTTTTACTCCATTTATTATGAATGTAAAAAAGTAAATTTTGGGTGAAACTGGAGATGCCCCTGTGGAGTTTCTGCAAAAAAACGTTATGACTCAGACTAATTTATCAGTACTCTAAAATAACATATATCAGCTGGATTTAATACATTTGAATGAATAACTAGGACATAAAACATGATGATGAACTATAACGTAAAGGTCCAGTAAGTGTGAACTATTGCTCCTTTGTAGCTTTGCTTACTCAGAGTAAAAACCTCAGAGTTTACCTGAGATTTAACTCTGGGGTTTTGGTTTTTTTTTTATAAAGGTGGCCTAACATGATCCAGAGAAGGTTAGGTCGAGATAAGAGTTCAAGAGGTGAAAAACCAGCACCTGACCAGTCAGTTCTCTGGATAATAGCCTCATCATTCTTGGAAGATCCTGATTTTGTTCATGGAGTAAGATGGTCTTTAGGTTTTTAGAAACAATAAGAATAAGAAAAACAGATTCTCAGTAGTTATATAACAGCATATTCATAAGAACAAAAATGTCTTGTTGACTTTATATAAAAAGAAGTCAAAGGTAAATATTTAATGCAACATTTTATTAGTGACCTGTGGGACCCAAATATTAAAATGTAACCTGTGAGAAAATGATCACATTCAGTCTAAACATCATTTCTTTTTTCCTCCTGCACTCAAACATCCACATGCTTTTTTTTTGTACAATGTGATTTTACATTAAAACCTCCTTTTTTAGGTTTGTGTTTAATGTTTTATATAAACTATCATTGTATTTTCAGCCTGACTTAAACAGTCAGCCAAGTGAAGGGCTCAAGGTTGCAGGAAATACAATTTTTCTATTATTCTCCTTCTACTTTCTGTGATATACAAACTACTGTAATGGTGGATGCTCATATGAAACATGCCAACATTTAAAATAACAAAGTCAGTGTTTGTACAGGTAATCTAATGTGAACCAAAAGCTCTAAACACTCAGAAAATTGGTTTAAAGAAAGAAGGAAAGGCTAAAACTAAGTGGACGAAGGTTCATTGAAGGATTACTCTGATCTGTGGATGTAATGTAAAGATGCTAAATGTATTTATGCAATTTAAAAAATTCCTTTAATATACGTAGACTTTTAAAATTATGTACGCCTTCATTCTTCGACTAATAACACTTTTCAAAAAAAAATACTACCTAATTTTCCATCACACCTTTAAAAACACAAAAATAAACAAAAAATTGATGAAATTATAAAATATTAATCTCTATTGTGTTGCTTAACTACCCTAGTAGTCAAACTGAAATGATTAGGTGATTAACCACTTTGATAACTCACAGCTATTTGATTTTTAATGCAAAAAAAGTAAGAAAAGAAAAGGGAAAAAAAATCCACTTTTTCGTATGTAACTTTAGATAAACGGCTTTTATGTTATTTTTCTACTTCAAGTATTTTTGGCTTGTTTCAACTTTTGTGGGAGTATTTCCTGCCAAAGGTTAAAGTTCATATAGGGGCCAGCGTCTATGACGCAGGTGTCACGCGGGATTTCATTAAATACGGATGGACCTTTAACTGAATCCATTACAGTGAATAAGCAAAACAAATAACAGGAAATGAATATCAGAAAAACACGAAGAGGAATGTTTGCTAACAAGCTAAAGAGGCTACAAGCTCTTGAATGACCTCACAAAGTGGCTTTTATGTCCGGATTTAAGTCGCAGTAATGTCGCAGTATTAAAGGTAAGTTTACCAGATTTTCATGTTTTAAATTTTTATTATTGCTGTATTGCTGCATGGGCCACAGAATCCTGCTAATTAGACCCTGTCGCCTCTGTGCTCATGCTTTTTGTTGTTGTCTTTGTTTCCTTTCTGAGTGAGAGTGGTAAGTTGTTTCCAAATATTATTGTGTCTCCATTACTATTATTTGACAATCCCTCTCTTTTCTAATTGGCTAATGCTTGGGGGGCAGCGATATAGCCTCATAATTATGACATGATATTTCAAGAACATTTGCAATTTCTGTTCCAGCAAACTTGAAGAATGAAGTTTAAAATAACTCATTTACACTTTAGTTTAACAACAGCGAAAGTAGCTAAAACTTGTAACTCATCAGATGCCTGCGTTATATATTTGCGCTATATATTCACACAATAACACTGAGAAATATTTTATATCTAGGATATTATAACTAGCTGCTAAAGCACTGCTTTTCCATGATGTAACCACATCAGTCATTTCCATGATGAATCAGCATGGCTGTCTTACCACTATCACTTCCTTCATAACCAGGCTGTACTTGACACTATGTTCTTGCCTCAAGTGGTGAAACAACCTTGTTGTTTCCACTTTTAGCAGGAACAGTTTTTTGAAGTAGTTCATTTTCAGATGCTAAGTCTGTATCAGAAAAGACGCGTGACTCTGGCTTTCAGACATGCCTGGGTTTGTCTCATGCACGCACTAGAGAATACAAATTCATGGTGTTTGTATGATGTGAATGAATGTAGACTGTTTATGAGAGGGAAAGTGAGCTTTTTAAAAAAAAAAAAGATCTTTACTTACTCCAAGAAAGTACCGGTCTTCTCAAACAACAAACTAAGACTCATGAGCTAGAAGCCCCTACTGAGTGAGAAGAAAAGGGTTTTGATTATGTTACATACAATCTATTTCTAGTAAAACAGAAATTAACTTTGATTAAATCAGTGAAAATCATGTGTCTACGTTACATAAATTAATATTTAACAGTTACGGTTGCACTTAGTAACCTTCCTGTTAAACAGGAATGTAAGTAGAATAAAACCAATTGAGTCGAGTCCCCACGAGTTGTGCTTAGACTCATTCAGGCAATGATTTGTTAGAGAATTCCTTGCTCAAAAAACATAAAAACACAATTGAAAGGTAAGGCTCAGTGACAATAAACTGAAGTTAGTGAAGGTGAGTCCTAGCATACAGCTAGCAGCTACAGCTGTGTAAGCAGCCATGTCACTAACTTTAAGATTCACCGAAGTTCACATTTCATGTTTGAAGAAAAGCTAGACCAAATGAAGATTTATTACAGTAATATAGATTTTTATGTTGTAAGCATTGTTAAATAGCTTCCAGTTTAGTTCAGATCAGCACATCTGGAGTGTGATGGGCGGTGTTGATGCAGGGGTTCTTGAGTTCAGCTGCCAGGACTGTGGAAGTAGGTCAGACCGGAGCGCCTGGGAACCTCTGCTCAAGTATACATTACAAACAAGACCCAGCCCAGGGGGGAGCTGTAATCTTTTTAGGCCCCAACTTATCTCCAGGTCTGTTCAGCTTTAGCACACACCTGGTTTTTATTTAACAGAACACTAAATGTGGCACAAGGTACTGTAACATTTGACCTCTGGAGTTAATGAGATATTTCACTCTGGGACCTCAGTCTCTCATCTGTGTGGTTTTTTTTTTTTTTTTTTTTTTTTTTTTTTCCCTCCTAACATCATAGTCACTGAAATGAATCCTTCTTTCCGTCATTACTGTCCTTTTCCATTTCTTCCTCTTGTAGTCCCTGTTCTACAGTCACATGACAGAACATTGATGTTTTAACTTATTCTGGTTTCAAACTGAGTATATTTATGTCCCAGAGCCTCGGTGCACTTGTTGATTAGTGTTGTAAAAAATGGTAAATTGTTTTAAATATTTGAAACCAGCACATGGATTAAAGCTTGACCAGTATTTGATGATTTGTGATATCGGGTGATATGTTTCTTTCTGTCAGCTGCAGAAAAAACAAACATTTGTTACGTTGCTGTGTTTGTGGCAGTGTGTGTTCCCATCTAATCCAAAATTTAAATTGGCAAGACCAAGAGTCTAAAATGTCACATTTTCTCAACAACAAGATGTCATATTTATATATTCACTTGTTCAGTATTGTTGTTGCTTTTGATTTTGTTTATTAGAAAGACATGTTTTGTAAAGCTTAATGTCCAGGAATTTTATTCGGCTGAGTTAGAAGCTAACAGTAGCTATATGATATACCATGTTCTTACTAAATTATTTGACTCGGACACAAACTAAAAACCAGCAATATTTGGAGGGTTAGTGCAACCTTATTTTCTAGCTACAGAGCTGTAGTCACCCTAATATAAAGGATGACGGTTACATTGTCCTTAATAACAGGTCATATTCAGGGTCGTTGATTGGCAAACAACAACATATAGCAGGAAGAATTCACCAAAAACAAAACAAACCACAACATTGTGGTCATTAAGATCTTTTTACCAGTTTGGACTATTTGCACTTAAAAAAGTTCTAATCCAAAACTTAGTGTATTCATTTACACTTTACTCAGCGTGAGTACGATTGCTTTCTGAATATTTGGCGTTGAATTTTTGGTGTCGGGAATATTGCATGCACACTGTGAGTTAGTTTAAAGATGTGCTAGGCATGAATAATAAGCTAGAGAGGCTCCAAATGGTTTTTGGGTGCTTGTGTTTATTAAAAAAAACAAAAGACAAAGAACTGCGTCACAATTTAAAAAAAACGAGAGGCTCCATCCAAGCGCAGGAAACTGGGTCAATATGTCATCATTTCACAAGTGCATTTCCTTAATTGAAGTCTTAAAAAGGTCTTAAAAAAGCATTGATTTGGGGATTTTAATAGTGCAGGAACCCGGGCCAATTTTGACAATAACTGTGGCTGCTGAAAGCACAATGCATGAGATGGACGGGTATCCACACTCAAGCATGCAAACACACGGTGTCTTCATGAACACATGCCCACACATGTGCTTCTTGCTAAGAAAAAAGTCTTAAAAACACAGGCCTGTTATACACACTGGTCTCCTCCCCTCACTGCACACTTCAGCTGAAAATCAGTCATGGGGAACAGCAGAGGTGTTTCTGAGCTGTGAAGGAGAAATCAGCCGTGATTGTTTCACAGCGCAGCTTTTGTTCTTAATCACAACCCTGAGATGAATTCAAGAGGTGGTGAATTCAATTAAAACTAAAATTAGTGCTTGTCTGCCAGCTGTGTGTGTGTACACGTGTGTGTTTGGGTGTGTTGAGTACCATAAATGGAGGTGCTCATTTATCAGCCTTTAGCACAGTGCTCTTTCCAGGGAACCATTAACTGAAACGCCCGTTTGGAAAAGTGTGCTTAGCCCACGGGGAGCTGTCTAATCTACAGGCCTCCACTTAAACAATGCAATGCAATTATGATTATTAAGTTATTATGTTGGTTCGGTGAGCAGCTGCAGTGGTGGAGAATTTCCAAGTCATGATTAAATTAAGTTAAAGGCATTCAGTGGATGCTTTCATATCAAACAAACCAAACTTGGAAGTATCAGCTCTTTTCTTTGTCCAATTCGTGGAATGTTTTGTCCAAGAATGCTTAGAAACTATTTAGAAATTTGCTTCAGAATGTAATTGTCATGGTTATCCCATTAAACACAAGATTTTCAGAAATGTGTAGAGGGTGGCTTCCACTCTTTTATATTTCTTACTGCTCTGTAGGTATAACACACACACGATTGTAAGATCAACAGAGATACTGGTGTTATTTTAGACGGCTATAATAAGGAATAATTAATTTTGGCTTCAGATATTGATTTAGTTTTTGTCTTTTTTCATTTGATTTTTGTTGGTATCAGTGAGCAGAAAGTAAAAAGACACTTACACACTCCATAATGTGAATCTTCCATTTCACTACATCCCAAAGGTTCTCTGTTCGATTCCGATCAGGTGACTGTGGAGGCCGCAGGAGTACAGTGAACTCATTGCCATGTTCAAGAAGACAGTTTGAGATGATTTGAGCTTTGTTTATAATGTGTTATCATACTGGAAACAGGCATCAAAAGATGGGTAAACTGTGGCCAGGGTGGATCCATGCTTTCATGTTGTTCACACCAAATTCTGACAATACCGTCTGAATATAACAGCAGAGATTAGGACTCATCAGACCAGGCAGCATTTATTTTTCCAGTCTTCTATTGCGTTTTCTGTTCTCAGCTCATAGGAGTGGCACCGGGTGAGGTCTTCTGCTGCTGTAGCTCATCTGCTTCAAGGTTTAACGTGAATAGATGCTCTTCTGCATAGCTTGGTTGTACTAAGTGGTTATTTGAGCTTCTGTTTCCATCATATAGGCTTGAAGTGGTCCATTCTCCTCTGATCTGAACATCAACCGGGCATTTTCACTCAGAGAACTGACACTGAATGGATATTTTCTTTTTTTCTGACGTTTGTGAACCGTAGAGATGGTAGTGTGGGAAAATCACAGTAGATCAGCAGTTTCTGAAATACGAATCGCCTCAATTGGATCCTTTTGCCGTGAAGGAGTAGTGGGTCTGCTCTGAGGTCCTGAATGACCAAACTCCTCAGCTCCACTCAGTGCACTGCAGCTTTTGATAATGAGGAGGTGAATGATGGTGATGAACCCACTCACTTATTTAAACTCTTTTTTTTTCATGTTCAAGAAATCAGTTTGAAATGAGCAGCAGAATGAGCCGTCAGACGATGGGTACTGGTCATAAAGGTGTGGACAATATTGCTCCGGCAGGCTCTGGCATTTAACTAATGCTCAGTTGCTACTAAGAGACCTAATGTATTCCAAGATAGAGTATCCATGAAACCCTCCAAACGTGCGTGAGCTGAAATAAACGTCTCAGTTTTAGCGTATAATCAGTTTTGTAGGATTAGTCAAATCTGTTAACAATCAATACAGCATTTATAATTGGAAAAAGTAGGTAAGTTTTTGTATAGTGAAGAAGTAGTACAGGCACT